GGTGTGTATATCTCCCATTTATATATATATATATATATACATATATATATATATATATATATATACATATATTCGTCCGATTTTAAGCAAATTGTGCACTAAAGATCCACGGCTAGGCCGATTGACACAACGTACTGAAATTAATATAAATTAACCTCTGGCAAGTTTGCTTAAAATCGGTTCATATATAGATATATCGTAGCTTCCATATATAATTTGGACTTATTTATGTTACTTGTAACCAAATAATTAATAGCTTTCTGTTCCAGAAAGACATAAAAATCATATATTTAAGTTCGTTCAATTTCATGTCAAAATTCCTTCAAAAAGACGACGTCTTTTCGTCACTCTACATATGTAGAATATACCCAAAGTGGTGAAGGGTATCATATAGTCGGCCCAGTCTGACTTTACTACTTTCCTTACTGCTTATATTTTGAGTTACTAACTTTGATTCTATAGCCTTAACCTCTGCCGTTATAGCCTTAACGTCTGCCAGCACGATCGTATTGTAAGCTGGTAGGCGAAGGGAAATTTTGATTTTGGGTTCTTCAATGGAAAACCCCATTCCCTGCTAGCTGGGAGTCATCTGTGTAGCAGCAGTTCGCAGGGAGCATGTTAACAAGTGTTCCGCTATCCCATGATTCCCTGTCTGGTATCATAGTTTCCCATGTATCTACTAGAGTTGGGTAGTTCCGGAATCAACTAGTTCATTGGAACTATTCTAAGAAAGGAACGATCGGAACTAGTTCCAACTCTTTAATTAATATAGTTCCTTTTTCTGATCTCGTTCCTTTTTGGTCTCGTTCATTTTTCTGATCTCGTTCATTTTTCTGATCTTCGTTCGTTTTTCAAATGGTGTCACATCGTTAACAATATGTAAAAATACGCTCACCAATTTATTATTGTGTAAAGAGTTAAATTTTATTTTTATACCCTACACAACTATGTTGTCAGGGTATTATAGCTTTGTGCAGCCCCAAATGTTTGTAACGCCGCGAAATATTGGTCCTAGACCCACCTTTAGTATACCGATATCTCGATTAGCTGAGTCGATCTAGACATGTGTGTCCGTCAGTCTGTCCATTATAATTTGTAAACACGATACAGGCCACAGTTATGGACCAATCTTCACGAAATTTTGCATGTAGGATGGGTTCTGGCCCCTATTGTTTTTGGAAAAATCGGTTAATATTTAGGGGATGAAATAGACCAAATACTAAATTTTTATCGGTTTTTTTTGGTCGCTCCAGAGGCCGCAGTTACGGTCCAAACATCGCGAATTTTTACAGGGAGAAGGGTGTCGGGCCAAAGAATAAGCTTGTCTGTTTTGATAAAAATCGGTCAATATTTAGCGGGTCAAATGGACCCTTACTTTTGTGTGAAAATACAAAATTTGTATGACGTATATATTTACTGCTGAAGGATAAAGACCCGAGAAGTTGAAGTTGGCTTGGAATATACATCCGCAGAATGTTACAGTTCCGTGGTAGTTGTGTAGGGTATCATATGGCCCCATCCGACTATACAGCTCCGTTCACTGGTTTTGAGTATGAATGAAGTTAGGCTGATTGGCAAACCGCAAGCTAGGAAGACATTTAATGCATCACAAACCATTTCTCTATCAATCTTAGGTTCGTCGTAGCTTTCCTCCCTTAGCACCGTTATATCATCACATGTCGATGTGTTCTGTTGAAAGTAAGCTGTCATGAGAAGTCTTTTTGTTTCATAGATAGAAACTTCTTTATTTTTGTTTCTATCTACGCTACGCTATCTACCGGTTCACATAAACTTTTCCAGGAGTTGTGTTTAGCTGTTATTGTCGTTTTGTTATATTCTTTCCTCTTAGTATGAAAGTTGTCTCCATATACTGCAGATCTCTTGAGCTTTATTGAATTTAGCTCTATTGTAAAGTCTTCGGAGCTCTTCTCCTTTGTTTCGAATCTCCCCGGGCATCCGGGATTTTTCTATGTCGCCTGTATTTAGGCTATCATAATTGGGTTGAACTGAACTATATACCAAATTTTACCCAGTTAATCTTAGACTTGATACGATAGAATATTGGTTTTGGCGGAGGCCGTGAAATTTTAAACCTAATATATTTATAGTGTTGTGAGACTCTCTCCGCCGTTGGTGGTGGTATCGGCGAGTCGAACAGAAAGTAGACTGATACTTTCCTTCAGTATAGTCGCGTCCGATATTGACGAAAAGAAAAAATTTAAATTTGTATGGCATTTTATACAAGTTCTTGGTCGGGAACCTGTGTTTGCATAAAATAATTGGTTTCGTATGTGGCATAATACAAGGGCCTTGTGTTTTATTGTCCAAAGCTCTCATATTAACCCGATGTGTATTTACCTTTAATATTTTTTTTCCATCAGCGCCACTGTTGCCGTTTCACTCAGATAGAGGTTTATCGGAATAAATTCTCTCAGTGCTCGGTTGGTACAGCCTAATGATTTAGGTCTAGAATGATGCATGTTAAGTTTCCTAAAAATCGGTTCAGATTTAGATATAGCTCCCATATATATTTTTGTGCGATTTAATGTAAATGGTCCACCAAAGTCCCTAAATATCTCTCGATTTGCACGAAATTTGGCACAGCGTAATGAATTAGGCCTTGAATGATGTGTGTTAAGTTTCCTGAAAATAGGTTCAGATTTAGATATAGCTCCCATATATATCTTCGTCCTATTAAATGTAAATGATGCACCACAGTCCCTATATATCCTTCGATTTGCACGAAATTTGGCACAGCCTAATGAATTAGGTCTAGAATGATGTGTGTTAGGTTTCCTGAAAATCGGTTCTCTTGGGAGTCGATTATCTTCTCCTCGGCTCCCACCCTTTTGTTTCTAGATTTTTCTACCTCGCTACCCCTCTTGGCCTACTTTTCTCCAATCCTTGCCTTCCCAATTTTAAAGTAGACTGCGTTGGACACGTTGTGCACCTTGCACTTAGTCCTGATCAGACTTTCCATTGTAGATTTGTCTAGGTCCACCACAAGTAGAGTTCCAACTTCTTTCTCCTCCCTGTGGAAGACTTCCCCGAGATTTCCTCCCATTATTCGTTGTTTTGCCATTCACATTTTTACATAACAACGAAAAACTTTAAAAAATAAACATTTTAATTTAAATATTTATTGAAATTCTTGTTGCTTTGTTTATACCTCGCCAAATTACTAAACATTTTTCGTTGGTATCATAGTTGTCTGTAAATAGAAAATATAGTGAAATACAATTGCTGCGTAATTATACAGGCAATTATGCCTTAGTAAGCAACTGTGTACTTGACACATAGATGGAAATTTAAAATCATCAATAATGAAGTTTCCGCTGATACGACATAGGTAGAGATGGGCAGTGGGTAAATACCCGGTAAATTGGGTAAATACCCGGTAAATTGGGTAAATACCCATTTGTGGGTATTTATTTGGGTATTTACTATATGAATCGGTAATACAACATCTTGCACCCTATTTCCGGGTTTCTGTTATCAAATCGATTTAGAATGAATAGTTTTACGATACTTTAAAGACGTGGGTAAAAACTTGGGTAAATACCCGAGTTTTTACCCAAAAATTGGGTATAAACTCATTAACTGCCGAACCAATTGACATAGGCGGCCAAAATTTTGCGCACGTGTTTCTAATGTCAAAGCAATTATAGAAATTTAACATGGGGTCCCTGGGTCCAAGTTTTGATATAGCCCCCATATAACCGTATCTCCCGATTTAAGGTATTTTTTGCCTATTAGACACATTTTGAGGCCAAATTGGCTGTAATTTGGCACAGAGTGTTTTTTTGAATACCAAATGTCCATGCAAAATTTTATGTATGTAGGTCCACGTTTACTGGTAGCCCCCATACAAAGGTACCCCTATTTTGAGTATTTACCCAAAAATTGTTGGATTTCTATATTTGCTTTGTCATTAGAAACATGTGTGCAAAATTTTGGCCGCCTATGTCAAGTGGTTCGGCAGTTAATGAGTTTTTACCCATTTTTCGGGTAAAAACTCGGGTATTTACCCAAGTATTTACCCACGTCTTTAAAGTATCGTAAAACTATCTATTCTAAATCGATTTGATAACAGAAACCCGGAAATAGGGTGTATGATGTTGTATTACCGAGTCGATATAGTAAATACCCAAATAAATACCCGCAAATGGGTATTTACCCGGTATTTACCCACCCCTTGGGTATTTACCCGGTAAATACCATCTCTAGACATAGGATATAGCGATGTAGTCAATAATGTAGTTTAACACATCAATGGATTTTCTGCGATATTATATATAATATATTAATAATATTATAATATTATAAATAATAATAATAATATTATATATAATATATTATAATATATTAATATATTAATAATTCGCTAAAGCTATTGGGGTACACAAATTCAACTAATAACATAAGTGGGAAGTGGAAAATTCCTTATGGGTATGAGAGACCTTGGCCAGCATATTATAAGAACACAAGGACAAATTCGCCATAAGTCAAGTTTTTGAGTTAAGGCGTTGTGAATTTTTTCGTGGTAACTCCAAAGTTCAAAGAAACATAACGAATAACTGTCGGATTCGTCTGAAATATTTCCCAAATATATTTCTCATTATTCTAAACACCACCCGGTCCAGTAAACTATATTGAGGTCAACAGACGGACGGACGGACATGGTTAAATCCACATAATATTTTATTCTGATCAAAGATATATATACTTTAATAATAAAAAAAGACATGTTATATTTTTTTTAATATTAATTTATTTTTAATGGCATTCATTTAAACACATTTAAAATGTTTTAGACTATAAATTTTTAACGACTTTTTCTACGCTTTTGCTTTTCAACCAAAGATAATCCACATTTAATTTTTCAGATATGTTAAAAAAATATTATTTTCTTCTCATTTTCGCGATAATTTCATACTTAATATTGCTTTATTTTAATATCATTTAAATTATTTATATTTATTTTTAATTTCTTCTGAACTTTAGGAACACAAATCATCCACAGATTCCGCTTGCAGGAGTACACGATGTTCACCTTTTTTCTTCGATGGTAGTTTCATTTTACCCCGCCTATTTACCACACCATCTTCCTCATCCATCATTCGTAGAATGGTAGTCTGTAAATAGAAACAAATTAGAGAAATACAAACGTATGTATGTACAATTAGCTAGTTACTACATAGGTATTTGTGCGTAAGTAAAAGTCTATGTACTTTGTACATAGATGCATAATTAAAAGCATAATTAGTGCTATTCCTTTTGAACATTAATAAACACTAGTTACAAACTAATATTGTAGAGTATTTTGGAATGCTGAACAGACAAAAACCTCAAAATATTCTTTTAAGTTACCAATAATGGCAATTGGCAATTATTTTGATTAGATCAAAGAGTTTGCAATTACAATATGTAAATAAATTGCTGAAGCCAAATTGGAAGGAGAATATCGGCCAATAGGAACAAGCAATTACTTAATAAAAATGTTACAGGAAGCGGATAAATTTTAGAATTGGTTTTAAAATATTCCATTTACTTTTAAATTAATATTGGTCAGTTGAAAATTATACTTGTTTAACGCGTTATTTGAGAAAATTTTTGGAAAAATATAATCTAAATTTAGAGGTCGCACATGTATTACCCTTGAGGAATTTTCATACCAAAAATTTTAGTTCATGACACGGAATACATAAAGTGCAGTACATTACCTTTGCAGTGACTTTTACAAGTTGCTATCAAGTCATGCCACAAAATAATTAAGGGCAACGCGAATATTTGGCAGAGAAAAATCAAATTAGGATTTTATTCATTTTTTTATTATAATAGCATATGCCCGCTACTTCGTTGGCGAATGTGGGATTTATATAAAAATAAATATAACATAAAACCAGTGAGCGGAGCAGTATAGTCGGACAACTACAAAGGAACTGTAACTTTCTGCGGATGTTCATTCCAAGCCTGGGCAATATTTCATGATATTTGCACCCTTTTGCCCAATTAGAGGTCAACAGCACCTCTTGCTTACACTAAAATATTTTCCGAATACTAATATTAAGTAAAGCCCTTCTAATTACTTGTCCAGATTCCCTTCTCCGTGGGTTGTGTTGTGATGTTCGGCTTATAATTGTGGCATATAGATCGATTCTAAAAAACACAAAAAATTATGTTTTTCGGTCCACTTCATACGAACATTTTTATCTGATCATCACCGAAAATTATAGGCGTTGTCTTTGACCGTAACTGGAACCTCAAGGAACATTTCCAAGCCGATATCGATATATTTCCGTCATCTAATGTGGTAATGGGTTACTAAATGATATCTCAATGCGTAAGCACCAGTAAATATTTGAGTGTAACTCCCACATCAGAGTACATACGACAATATAATTAGTATCAATTTAAAGGTCAACCACTTCTGTTGTATATACAATCAACTTCTCGGGTATATGTCCTTCAGGAGTAAATATATACGCCATAGAACACAAATTTTGTCATTTTTCACACAAAAGTCAGGGTACATTTGACCCGCTAAATATTAATCGATCTTTATCAAAACCGGCATGTTTATGCTTTGGCCCGATCCCCTTCACCTTGTAAAATTTCTCGATGTTCGGTAATTGCGGCCTCTGGAGCGACCAGAAAATCAGACAAAAATTAAGTATTTGGACCATTCCATCCCCTAAATATTAACCGATCTTTTCCAAAACAATAGGGGTCTTCATTGGCCAGAACCCATGCTACATGCAAAATTTCGTGAAGATTGGTCCACAACTGTGACCTGTATCGCATTTACAAATTATAATGGACAGACGGACGGACGGACTCACATGTCTAGATCGACTCAGCTAGTCGAGATATGACCTTAAAGGTGGGTCTAGGACCAATATTTCGCGGCGTTACAAACTCTTGGGGCTGCACAAAGCTATAATACCCTGACAACATAGTTGTGTAGAGTATAAAGAACATAATTAAAATTTAAGTACCATTTAATCTAGCTCTATACTAAATTTTGTATCATTTATTACCATTTGTACTCCTGTAATACTTATTTAAAAAAAATTAATATAGGTTCACCCAAATCAAAAATTGAGTACCAGGTAGTTCACATTAATATAATAATATAAGTACAAATTTCCATTGTACCTGGAAATCCTATTACCCAATTTCAGAGTTCCCAATTCAGAGTTCACTCTAAATCCAAATTTAGTGGCATTCAGTACATATTTCGAAAACTTCCTACATACCTCAATCCAATAACCCAACAGCGATGCATACTCCAAATTTGTGGTTTATACACTCTAAGTAATCTTAATTCCAAATTTTAGGATTAGGATGTTTCACCTAAATCCAAATTGTATCAAAATTTAGTACCATTTAGTACCCAAAAGTACAAATTACCAAAAAGTACACTCATACCCCGATCCTACACTTCAACCGTAATTTTATTTCCATATTTCATGATTCCATATCTATCGGATCACCTAAATCCAAATTATATCAAATTTAATAATATTGTATCAAATTCAGTACCATTTAGTATTCATATTTAGTACACTTGACTACCAATTTTCATACACTATCATCATACCTCAATTCTACAATGCAATAGTAATCTTATTTCAAAATTTCAGTGTTCCAGCTCTATCGGTTTACCTAAAATCAAAATTGTACCAAAAATAGTGCCATGAACTGCCTACAAAACTGGCAACATATCCCAATCCTACACTTCGATGGCAATTTTACTTTCAATTTTAAGTATTCCAGCTCGATTTGTACCTCCAAATAAAAGATGCCCATATTTCCTGAGATATAGGACTCCAAAATTTCTCGGGAGCCCTTTTATGATTCTTAAAAAAAATATATGAGTATCAACTAAAAGCGGCTGAAATGCAGGTTGTAAAAATTTAATTATCGTATCAAAAGATGTCATACTTCCTGATCCTTTCTTTCAAGTATTTTTTTTTTTATAAAAAATACATTTATTTAATTTTTTTATTTAGGGGAGAGTGGGGCACCTTTGAACACTTTTTTCCGACAAGCTTCATAAAACTTTTTATTTTATAATTTTTGTTTCCTCTAAATTTTAACTAATAGGTACATACATTACCTTTACTACCTTTGAACAAGGCTTGGTATTTTTGAACGGCATTTTTTACAGTGATTATTTTCAAATATGTATGTATTTTATTCATACATATCACAAATGCATTTATTTATTAAAAAATACATAACAAAATGTTCGAAAATGTAAAAAAATTAGATCAAAATGTATTAAAATATAAAATGACATAAAAACAAAAATTAATATGATGAAAAATGCCGTTAATTTCGTAGTGTTATTAGCTCATTTGAAATTTTGAGAAATCGAAGCCAAAAGTTAACCAAGTGAGCGGAGCAGTATAGTCGGGCGGGGCCGACCATATGATACCCTAAACAACTTTAACGAAAATCTAACTTTCGTTGGTTCTATATTCTGAGCATGAAAAATATTTTGCGATATTTGCACCCTCTTGACCGACTAGAGGTTAACAAATATTACTTATATTCAGTGCAGCCCTTCTAATTACTTGTCCGGATTCTCTTCACCGTGGGTTGTGTTGTGATATTCGGCATATAATTGTGGCCTTTTGATCGACTTAAAAAACACAAAAAAAAATTAAATTCTTCGATCCACTTCATTCCAAAATTATTATCTGATCATCACCGAAAATTATATTCGATGTCCTTGACCATAACTTTAACCTCGTGGAACATTTCAATGCGATCAGCGCTGTATTTCGGCCCTCTAGTCGGCCGACTATATGATACCCTTCACCACTTTGGGGATATTCTACATATGTATCTTTACAGATGTCGTCTTTTCGATGGAACATTGATTTCATACTTTTTAAATAGACTTTAAGCTAACTTTACGCACGCTATTTGGTATGCTTCACTGTTTAAAATATAACATCAATCAAGCAACCATTGATTATTTGGTTTACAATCAACATAGATTTATACTAATTTCAGTAAGTTTTGCCAATCGGCCTAGCTATTTTTACATTTACTTAAAATCGGACGAAAGTATATATAGGAGCTATATGCAAATCTGAACCAATTTCAAGAAAACTTGACACACACAAGGTTATAGTAACTTCAGTACATTGTACAAAATTTACATTAAATCGGACGAAAATATATATATTGGAGCTATATCTAAATCTGAACCGTTTTTCATGAAACTTAGCACACATCATTTTGGACCCAATTCAATGCCCTATGAAAAATTTCGTGCAAATCGAAAGATATATAGGGACTTTGGAGACCCATTTATTTTAAATCGGACGAAAATATATATGGGAGCTATATATAAACCTGGCCAAATTTTCTCGAAACTTGGCACACGTCATTATTGACCTAATTCATTACTTTATGCCAAATTTCGTGAAAATCGAAAGATATGTAGGCCCCATTTACATTAAATCGGACGAAAATATACACGGGAGCTATATATAAATCTAGACCGATTTTCGCGAAACTTAGCACAAATCGAAATGTCGTGCAAATTGAAAGATATTTATGGACTTTGGTGCACCATTTACTTTAAATCGGACGAAACTATATATAGGAGATATATCTCGAAACTCGGCACACATCATTCTGGACCTAATTCAGTATTCTGTGCCAAATTTCATGCAAATCGAATGATATATAGGGACGTTGGTGCACCATTTACCCTTAATCGGACGAAAATATATATGGGAGATATATCTAATCTGAACCGATTTTCTCGAAACTTGGCACACATCATTCTGTACCTAATTCAGTACTCTGTGCTAAATTTCATGCAAATCGAAAGATATAGATGGATTTTGGTGCCCCATTTACCTTAGATCGGACGATACTATATATGGGAGCTATATCTAAATCTGAACCGATTTTCTCGAAACTTGGCACACATCATTCTGGGCCTAAACGACAAAAATTTAGTATTTGGTCCATTTCATCCCCTAAATATTCACCGACCTTTACCAAAAACAATAGTGGTCTTCATTGGCCAGAGCCCATCCTACATGCAAAATCTCGTGAAGATTGGTTCCTAACTGTGGCCTGTATCGTTTTTACAAATTATAATGGACAGACGGACGGACGGACGTACACACATATCTAGATCGACTCAGCTAGTCGAGATATGACGATCGGTTTACTTAAAAGTATACTTTCGCGGCGTTACAAACTCTTGGGGTTGCACAAAGCTATAATACCCTGACAACATAGTTGTGTAGGGTATTTTTAATGGAGTTTACTGGGCATTTTATAATAACCTATTTTATAGGAAATATAAATGAAAGAAAATTAATTAGTAATGTTTGAAATGATTGTTGGAATGCAAAAAAATTGTTTAACGAAAGAAAACTATGACTGAATTCTTCCTGATCCCTTACAACCAAAAGAATAAAAGTTTACAATGACACTGCGAAAACATGGTCACCCGCGCACCATTTGTCGACAACTGAAAAAGCTAGCCAAAGTGGTTACGCAGATAGAGAACAAGATTGCCATATACGAAAATGTGGTTGCGGGTCGGAAAAATTTTAAACCGAGATTTTATGAGCCCTGTTCAAAGGTGACCAACGTTGAAAGGTGCCCCCTCTCCCCTATTTATTACTGTATTTATTTTTTTAATTTTTTATATAGCACTTAAAACTCATAAAAAAATTCTGCACTAGGAGATACATTGAAATAATATTCAATACATACCTGATCTGAACAATCCATTGGCGCCACCGAAATATCACGCACAGCACGAAATTTACCACAATTATTTAAATGTTCATTTTCGAGTCGAAAGTAATTCCAAATAAACCGCCGAAACACTTCCAATGGACTGAGCAGTGTTACCATAACATCGCCTTCCATGTAACCTGCCTCGATTAAGCTCATCGACACCGTCCAGGCGAATCGCAATATTAAATCCTCAATTATGCCAAAGTAATAGAACCACTGATTGGCACGAGTACAGGATAACAGGATGATACCGCAATGAAATAAGAAAATAAAGAATTGCAATAAGTTAAAATCAATTAATTGGTAAAAGGTTTTCAACTGTAACCTTACACGCAAATTCACACAAAGTGAAATATGCGAGTATATATATATATATGTATATATAGATGATGGCAGTAAATTCATTGGAAAAATTTAAGGCTATCATCTACAGTTTGTCAGTTATATGAATATGTGCGTGTTTATGCAGACATTTAATATGTATTGGTGTATGTATTTAATGACGAGCAATAAATTACCATTTAACAATGGTTCCTAGAAGAATATGCTGAATGCTGAAACTGTTGCTCATTTACTTTGCGGTTTCATTTTGATTGCTTCAAAATTATGTAAATTTTAAGAAATTTAATGTAGTCCAAGTATAACGATATATATATATATATATATACTACAAAAGCATACCCGCCATATATTAGGTCGCAGAAAAAGAAATCCATTATTTTTTTCGGCAGATGGCTGTACTGATAGATGTCTCGTAAAGTATTGATCAAACAATTTAAGATTTATGCTCGTTGGAAGGGTGATTTTTTTTTTTTTTTTTTTTTGCATTCAGTTGTGAGTTACAGGGTGTAAAAATGGAAGTGAACAAAAATAAAATTTAGCACATTTTACAGTATTTCTTTGACCAAGGCGAAAATGCAAGTCCAGCGGCTAAAATTGTAAATGGTGGTTTGTTTCCGATACCGTAACATCCAATTATGAGCAATATTGGTTTCATAGATTCCGTTCAGGAATTTATGATGTTAAGATGCACCTCACACGGGAAGACCGTTTGTCGAAAAATCGCAGAAATGATCGAAGTGGCACGGCATGTTAGCAGTCGTAACATCGCCCAAGAGCTAAAAATCGACCATAACTGTTGTAAACCATTTACAGCGAAAAAAGATAATCGCCCATGTGACATGTTCCGAGAGTTTTTGAATTCCCATACTTTTTTAAATTTTGTAAATGGTGTGCTCAATTTCGAGCGAAAGTGCGCTCGAAAGCATAGCTGTGTTCAATATGTTACGAAATGTGTTCAATAAAAAAACATATGTTTCATTAGAATTTGCAATTTGTTTAACAACAAAATTAAGAAAAAAATGCCTGCTGGCTTATTATTTGCCATGGTTTATACCAGAAAAAGTCTAATGATACTGGAACGTGTTAAACGACTCAACGGATATGCCTGAATCTGTGTAAGTATTTTTGATCATTATCTCCAAGGCCCTACCAATAATTTTTATAGCTTTGTATCTCTTTTCAGGATAAATAAAGAAGCATTTATGGATATTTTTAAGAGAAGTTGGTCATTTCATACACAAGGGCAGCCTGCAGTTAGCAGCTACCTTAAGATTTCTGGCTGTTGGTGGATTTCAGAGGGTAGTTGCAAATGATTTAAATATAAATATATATATATATATATATATATTTTATTAACATTTCTAATTTCCAGGGGTTATAGGCTGTGTAGATGGAACACACATGTGGTTGAACTAACCACATGAAAACTCATCTTATACTACAATAGAAAAGGATTCTTCAGTATAAATGCAATGATTGTAAGGAAAACAATGTAGATAATCGTAAAACTAATTTTTATTTTTCTGTTAGGTGTGTGAGAATTCGAGCTGTGGACAGCTGCAGACCTGGATCCAGCCATGATGGTTTTATTTGGCATATGAGTGCAGCTAGGCAGCATTAACAAAAGAGCGAATGTTATGCAAAATTGTTGGCTTCTAAGAGACAGTGGTTACGCTTTAGAAACATTTTTGATGACGCCCTATAAACGAGTGGAGCATGGAATCTGTCAACATCGATATAATAAAGTGCACACATCTGCAAGAAACACTATTAAAAGGACTATTGGAAATCTTAAAAGTAGATTTTTTATAGATTGTATTTTTATTTTGATATGGTGGTTGAGTTGCCAGATTGATCTCAAAAATGTTACGCGTTATTTTTGATAAAAGGAGCCCTTTTTTATGTTCTTTCATTTTACTATAAAAAATAATTTAAATACTGTATTTTTAAATAAACATTGTAAAAACACGTTAAATATTACTTCATCGTTCTTTTTCAACTTGTACGTGCTCAGAAAAATACGTACGATCTCATTTCATTTTCAATCCACAAGGCTATACGTGCTCGAATTATATTCCCAATATTTTTTTGGGAATTCGGAATGGAGCACACCAAATTTGGGAAAATGTTTCCCATTCGAGCAAACTCGAAATGCAGCACATGTGCGATTAATGTATTTCTTTTTCCCCAACCAATATTAAGTTTTTCCATATTCTTGACCGACAAATGGTCAATATTTTTTAAACTTATACATTTAATTTGAAGTGAATTGAAATGCCGATTTGATCAACATTAAATACGAAACCTCGTTGATAAAAACATATATCTATATAAACCTAATTATAAAATTTGTGAGTAGTTTCGAACACCTCCGCAAACCATAGGCTGAGGGTACATAGGGTATATACATGATTTACTAGATTTCCTTGAAATATTAATATTTCATGAAAATCGGATCATAATTGTGGCATATAGTGGGACTAGAAATAAACCTTTAAAGAAAAGAATTAAAGAAATTGTCCTTTTGCACCCCAACTAATTAACCGATTACTACCGCAAATTATAGATTTGGTCAGAACCCGAGTCGAAATGCAAAATTTCATGACGACCAATACTACGATGCATATTCGTTTAGTTGATTGGCTTGCTGGTTTAATATTTCGTGATAATCGAGTGAGCAAAACCATTACATTTGACCACTATTGACTACGGCCACAGGCAACATTTCAAATGTCCTTGCACATTTTAATTTATTTTTAAATATATAACTTTATACAGTTTCTTTAATCTTTTTTTCGAAATATAATAATGAAAAACGTTTATCATAATTTAACTATCAGTAGGGAGTAATTAAAATATTCAAATACTATTTGCTTCTATTTATATTTAGATTTCAAACAATCGATTTAATTCAATAACCAACCAACCACATTTTATTTAATTTAAAATTCAATTTAAGTATTGCATACTGCTGTGATTTGTCTTAATGCGATAACAAATAAATTGAATATTAACACTTACCGTTGACGAATAGACAATCTCCTCTCTTAGAAAGGTGTTATCACCAGCTTTAGCATCGAACAGACCCCAATCGAATTTTATGTCCCACGTGTAAGCATAGCAGGATGATACGATGGCAGCAAAAATCCAACAATAAAACCAAGGATTATCCCTTGAATTTGTGTATTCGGCTAGAATACAATAAATACAAAAAAATGTGTGTATTCAACTTTGCGGACCATATATGTATGTGTATATGTGCACGTTTATAGATTTTATATAACCAATAAATTATTGATAAGTTCGTATTGCAATAAATTGATAATATTAATATTAAATAAAATAAGAATATAAGATACATTATTGTTATTATTATTCGTGGCATAGAAAATCTTCTAATGGGATCCATTACCAAGAAAGCAAATTTAACGTTAACGTTATAAATGGGTTCTACAAAAACCAGTAATGAAAGATCGGTACGTTGCTAATGATATTGTCATATGAGTTTGTACTGTTTATACCCTACACAACTATGTTGTCAGGGTATTATAGCTTTGTGCAGCCCCAAAAGTTTGTAACGCCGCGAAATATTGGTCCTAGACCGACCTTTAAGTATACCGATCGTCATATCTCGACTAGCTGAGTCGATCTAGACATGTGTGTCCGTCCGTCCGTCCGTCTGTCCATTATAATTTGTAAACACGATACAGGCCACAGTTATGGACCAATCTTCACGAAATTTTGCATGTAGGTTGGGTTCTGGCCAATGAAGACCCCTATTGTTTTTGGAAAAGATCGGTTAATATTTAGGGGATGAAATGGACCAAATACTAAATTTTTGTCGGTTTTTCTGGTCGCTCCAGAGGCCGCAATAATGGCCCGAACATCGTGAAATTTTCTATGGAGAAGGGGATCGGGCCAAAGAATAAGCATGCCTGTTTTTATAGAGATCGGTCAATATTTAGCGGGTCAAATGGACCCTGACTTTTGTGTGAAAAATGACAAAATTTGTATTCTATAAGGTATATATTTACCCCTGAAGGACATACACCCGAGAAGTTTATATTATATCCAAGAGGAGTGGTTGACCTTTAAATTAAGACCAATTATATTGTTGTATGTGCTCGGATGTGGGAGTTACACCTACATATGTACAGGTATCTCCGTATTCCTATATTATTTAGTAACCCATTATCACTCTAGAGAGCGGAACTATAGAGCTGATCGCTTTGAAATGTTCCATGAGGTTCCAGTTATGGTCAAGGACAACGCCTATAATTTTTGGTGATGATCAGATAATAATTTTGGAATGAAGTGGACCGAAAACTTAATTTTTTGTGCTATTTGCCTCTAATCGGGCAAGAGGGTGCAAATATCACGAAATATTGCCCAGGCTCGGAATAAACATCCGCAGAAAATTTGAGTTCCGTGGTAGTTGTGTAGGGTATCGTATGGTCGGCCCCGTCCGACTATACTGCTCCGCTCACTGGTTTTTAGATAGCTTATTTTTATTCTTCCAAAATTGTAGACATAAACATCAAAATAAAAGTCGTTCAAAGGTGCAGCTTTTGCTCACTGTTTTCTTCGACTTCAATAATGAATTCTAGTAAGCTTTTGAACGGAGGAATTTGCCAACATTCGTACACTCGCCATAAGGATGAAACTTGTCATCAATCATTCAAAATACCAAAATTCGAGGATAATTTAATCCTCCATAAGATGGAGTGTATATTAAATTTGTCATTCCGTTGGCAACACCCCGAAATATTCAAGGGAGATTTAATAAAGTATACATATTTTCTAGATCCGAAGAAAATTCTATCTCGATTTATGTATGTCCGTCTGTTGTATTCACTATAGAGCTCGCAATATTAAAAATATAATACAGTATTTTTCGGTTAATTGACCCTACGGTTAATTGATTTCCACGCTTAATTGAACCACATGATGGGGCAACAAATATTTCATAGGAAAATACATGTAAATTTTCTCGGATAATTAAACCCTGTTAATTGATTTACCCGCTTAATTGGTTCAAAATTCATGTCATCAAAAATAAATTTCCTTTTACTTTTCACCGGTTAATTGCACAATAATAATTGAAAAATAATCTGCCATATTTTTACATACATATTAGACATAAATTGTGAAAAAGACTAGGTGGCATCTTTACTAATTCAAAACATATGTTTATTGCTAAGGAAAAACTTCGAGAAAGCGTAATTTGTATTTGACATTGGATTTTTTTAAATCATTACCAGTTTCAATTATACGCGATTGTGCCAATTTTGATGTGCAATTAACCGAAAAAATACTGTATTTGCATTAAGTTCAGCGTAAAGAGATTGAACACTTAAAAATAGGAATTAGGATTACTATTGGAGTACAGGATTGAGGTACTTATGTGTACTAAATGGCCATCATTTAACCCGAATTAAAGGTCATTGACCCCGAATTAAGGGTAGACAAAGGGGAAAAGCTAGAATTCTAAAATTCCGGATTAAAGGACACTTAATCCGGAGTAAGGGTCATAGACCCAGGATTAAGGCTTAATCCGGATTAAGGGTTCTTGACCCAGGATTAAGGGACATTTAATCCGGATTAAGCGTTAAGGCTTAATTCGGATTAAGGGCAACTTATTCCGGATTAAGGAACACTTAATCCGGATTTAGGGTTGTTGACCTAGGTTCTTAGGCTTAATCCGGATTAAGACTTAATCCGGATTAAGGGTCCTTGACCCAGGATTAAGGCTACTACGGATTAAGGGTCCTTGACCCTGGATTAAGGCTCAATCCGGGTAAAGGGTCATTTAATCCTATATTAAAGCTTACTCCAAATTTAGGGTCATTGACCCCGGATTAAAGGCCGTCATTTAACCCGAGTTAAAGGTCATTGACCCCGAATTAAGGGTAGACAAAGGGGAAGTGCTAGAATTCTGAACTTTTGGATGTGGTTCACTGATGGAAAGTTAGAAGGATGTAGATGCTCCATTTTAGATTGAGATTGAATACTTAAAAATAGGAATTAGGATTACTATTAAATGTCCTTAATCCGGATTAAGCCTCAATCCGGGGTCAAGGACCCTCAATCCGGGGTCAAGGACCCAAATATCACCAAATTTAGTACTTTTCATAAACATAAGTACGAATTTCTAAGTATCTACATCCTTCTAACTTTCCATCAGTGAACCACATCCAAAATTTCAGAATTCTAGCACTTCCCCTTTGTCTACCCTTCATTCGGGGTCAATGACCGTTAATTCGGGTTAAATGATGGCCTTTAATCCGGGGTCAATAACCTAAATTTGGAGTAAGCCTTAATAGGGATTAAATGTCCCTTAATCCGGATTAAGCCTTAATCCTGGGTCAAGGACCCTTAATCCGGGTTCAAGGACCCTTAATCCGAGTTCAAGGACCCTTAATCCGTAGTAGCCTTAATCCTGGGTCAAGGACCCTTAATCCGGATTAAGCCTTAATCCTGGGTCAAGGAACCTTTATCTGGATTAAGAGGCCCTTAATCCGGATTAAACCTTAATCCTTGGTCAAGGGCCCTTAATCCGGATTAAGCCTTAATCCTGTGTCAAGGTCCCTAAACCGGATTAAGTGTCCCTTAACCGGATTAAGTGTCTCTTAATCCGGTTTAGGGTCCTTGACCCAAGATTAAGGCTTAATCCGGATTAAGTGTCCCTTACTTGAGTACTTGACCCCGGATTAAGAGACACTTAACCCGGACTAAAGTTCCTTGACCCAGGATTAAGGCTTAATCCGGTTTAGGGACACTTAATCCGGTTTAGGGACCTTGAACCAGGATTAAGGCTTAATCCGGATTAAGGGCCCTTGACCCAGGATTAAGGTTTAATCCGGATTAAGGGCCTCTTAATCCGGATTAAGGTTCCTTGACCCAGGATTAAGGCTTAATCCGGATTAAGGGACACTTAATCCGGATTAAGCCTTAATCCTGGGTCAAGGTCCCTAAACCGGATTAAGTGTCCCTAAACCGGATTAAGTGTCGCTTAATCCGGTTTAGGGTCCTTGACCCAAGATTAAGGCTTAATCCGGATTAAGGGTCCTTGACCCAGAATTAAGGGAATTTAATCCTGATTAAGGGACACTTAATCCGGATTAAGGGTACTTGACCCCGGCTTAATCCGGATTAAGAGACACTTAACCCGGACTAAGGTTCCTTGACCCAGGATTAAGGCTTAATCCGATTTAAGGGTCCTTGACCCCGGCTTAATCCGGATTAAGCCTTAATCCTGGGTCAAGGACCCTAAACCGGATTAAGTGTCCCTTAATCCGGATTAAGTGTCTCTTAATCTGGTTTAGGGTCCTTGACCCAAGATTAAGGCTTAATCCAGGATTAAGGCTTAATCCGGATTAAGGGTCCTTGACCCAGGATTAAGGGAATTTAATCCGGATTAAGGGACACTTAATCCGGATTAAGGGTACTTGACCCAAGGTCCCTAAACCGGATTAAGTGTCCCTAAACCGGATTAAGCCTTAATCCTGGGTCAAGGAACTTTAGTGCGGGTTAAGTGTCTCTTAATCCGGGGTCAAGTACCTTTAATCCGGATTAAGTGTCCCTAAACCGGATTAAGGGTACTTGACCCCAGCTTAATCCGGATTAAGAGACACTTAACCCGGACTAAGGTTCCTTGACCCAGGATTAAGGCTTAATCCGATTTAAGGGTCCTTGACCCCGGCTTAATCCGGATTAAGCCTTAATCCTGGGTCAAGGACCCTAAACCGGATTAAGTGTCCCTTAATCCGGATTAAGTGTCTCTTAATCCGGTTTAGGGTCCTTGACCCAAGATTAAGGCTTAATCCGGATTAAGGGTCCTTGACCCAGGATTAAGGCTTAATCCGGATTAAGGGTCCTTGACCCAGGATTAAGGGAATTTAATCCGGATTAAGGGACACTTAATCCGGATTAAGGGTACTTGACCCCGGCTTAATCCGGATTAAGAGACACTTAACCCGGACTAAGGTTCCTTGGCCCCGAATTAAGGCTTAACCCGTATTAAGGGTCCTTGACCCCGGATTGAGGGTCCTTGACCCTGGATTAAGGCTCAATCCGGGTTAAGGGTCATTTAATCCCGTATTAAGGCTTACTCCAAATTTAGGTTATTGACCCCGGATTACAGGCCATAATTTAACCCGAATTAAAGGTCATTGACCCCGAATTAAGGGAA